AATCTTACTGAATATAATTCTTATTTAAAAATGGTCAGATAAGATGATGTTAAGCGAAATGAACCCCAAAATAAGGACACAAGTGGTTTTTTCTTCCTTGCTATTGTTTCTAACATATTTATAAGGTGATTTTTTTCTGTTGCTTTGTATGCCCTCCCCCACGGTATAACCCCTTTTTTTCATTGTATTTGATGTTGGTATAATTTGGGGAGGGGAAGGGAAAAAACAGGGATACAGGTGGATCCATTGCAACAATGAGATGTACAAGATGCTATGTCAAAAAACAAACTTTACAACTTTGGGGGGGGTGGATTATAGATGAGAGGTCAGAGATGGTAGGGGAAACAAAGGAGGAGGCAACAATGCTTGATAAGAAATGTACTCATTACCTTGCCCATATAATTGTAACCCCTCTGTACAGTATTTTCACAATAAAAAACTTACAAAAAAATGGTAATATGTCCTAAAAAAATGATGCAGCCTTCAACTAATGGACATAATTAATGCAAAAATGTAAAAGGTAAACTCTGTACATCTTATCTGTAAAAATTATAAATTTCAGAGTTACATCATCAGGCTTCATTACCTAGTAAGAAAGCTATTTTACTAATGAAAGAGTGTAATGCACTATCTTTGAAGTGACACTATTTCTTCTTCCTTCCTTTGATAAGTATGGTCAAAAGGCATATTTAGATGACGTGTCTTCTAAGCCATTTTATAATTTATTAGTCTTTCTTACACACTAAATGTCAATGTTTAATATGGTTCATGGTTGTTTTTTTTACTGCCAACAGTTTCCCCTTCCTATAATGAATGCTTTGCTTTAAATGTCCATCAGTAAGTGACATGCAAAGTATGTGTCCAATTAGATATACCAATTATATATTAATGGTTATTTATTACCATCAAGAATCTATACCAGTAGGTTTTCAATTCCTTAGCTAGAAATGTAAGTCAGTTACCTTGTAACAACTCATCCAAGGGCACAAGAATTAGTGAAAATGCATTAAGTAACAGAAAATAAATAAAGTATATTGCACAGGGATGATAGGTTGGTAGCATCTGAGTTATTTATTTTTCCCCTTACATACTTCATCCTAATGGACAAATGGTTGATAAACCAGACACCACAGACAGATAAAAGCACTTGGGATAAAAGAGTATGAATGTAGTTTCTCAGAAATAGCATACTTGAGATCCTACGGGAATAAATAAGTGTACCGAATAAATATACTAAGCAACAGAACCACCTCAACTAGTAAGCACTTACAATAATGCAAGCATAAAATAAACAACTCCCCACATGCTGTAAAACATGAACTATGATTAAAAGATACATTGGGCTAATTTTATTCCTCTGAAAAATACCATTTAATAAGAGAGACAGAGATCTGAAGATCTTAAAAAGGTAAAGATAAAGTTTATCACTGTCTTTAAAGAGAGTTCAGGGAATATGTATTAATTAAATAACAAAATTCTTTCATATGGCTCGGACTAGCAGACAAAGCTTTATGAAGACTGATCAATACAAAAGTTGAGAGGCTTATATGTCAAAGAGAGAACATACAAACTAAAATCTATAATCATGAAGTCTGCCAGAGAAAACTGGCAGAACTGCAACTGCATTTTAATGGATTTTCTTGGCTAAATTCTGAAAGCTATGGTATTCCCCACTTCTTATAGTAAAGTTGTGTGTTAAGTATATATAATTAGTATCTATGAGTATATCTGAAAATAAGAGAAGCACACAAGACCTATACTATAGAATAAAATTTCAAAGTTATATAAGAAGAAATGTTCAAGGCTGGACTATAAGGCACATGTCTATTAATTCTAGAATTCGCAAAGCTGAGGCACGATCACTAGAGTTCAAGGCCAGCCTAGGCTATAGAGTGAGACCCTGTCTCAAAAAACTAACAAACCAGGGGGCTGGGAAGGTGGCTCAGTGGTAGAGTGATGCCTTGAATGCAAGAGCCCCTGGGTTCGATTCCTCAGCACCGCATAAGCAAAAAATAAATAAAAAATAAATAAAACATTTGACCTCTCCAAAAAAAAAAAAAAAAAGAAAACTAACAAACCAAAAAGAATAAATTACAAGTCAGAATACAATAAAGACACTTACTTTCATATCCATGTTTACTGCTGTACTAATCCCCAAGTTATAAAAACAGCCCAGAAGCCCTGCAGCAGACCAATGGATGAAGAAAATGTGGTATATGCCAATATAGACAATGAAATTTTACTTACCTATCAGAAAGAATAATACTAATGTCATTTGCAGGGGAATGGATTGCCCAGGGAAAAAAATCATAATAAGTGAAGTAAGTCAGGCTCAGAATGATAAAGGGTGGAGGTTTTCTCTCATATGACAAAATTAGTTGTAAAGTACAAATAGACATGAAAGTAATTTTTTTAAGGAATAAATCACAAAATTTCAGAAAAGGTTTAATTACTGAAGGTATAGATAGTTTGAAGCTTCAGCTTCTATGGCAAATAATTTCTTTTTTCAAAAGCTGGCAATTTTTTTTAATGTATCAAAATTGTCAAAAAAAGGGGGATAATTTATTTCAAAGTTTTCATTGTTCATTGCCATTTCATATTAAAAGCCTCATTATAATAGAGTCTAGTTTGGTGGATCACTCTTGTAAACCCAGCACTAGGGATTTTTTCTTTTTGTTTTTTACTAAGGGATATCACATTGACATTCCTTCCCAGAAGTATTTTAAAAGAAGAATTTGCTGATTAACCACAAGCAGTGTCTGCTTCAGTTTTTGTGTGGTTCTAACAATGTGATATTCAGTAACTCACATCCTCAGCAACACTTACCCATGTGTTTAGAATGTTACATAAAATGTAATTATTATATGGAGAAATAACAGAGTAAAATATTAGTAGGTTCAGAAAAGGAAAGGTTGAGGACAGAAAAGTAATTGGTATTGATAATAAAAGTCATTTCCACCATCCCAACTGTTGTGTCAGTTAGATTAAATTGATTACCTTAGCTCTAGAAGCTAGACTTTCCCTCCATTCTCTTAGGATAAAAGTCTGTAACTTGTACTACTAATTCATAAATCATGCATTTATTTATTATCTCTGAACAAGCAGGTCACTGTCTAATTCTTGCTAGTCTAAATGAGGCTAATTACCATTTTCTTGACTTTTGTCTGAAAATGTTATCATGTATGTATATGTGTGTGAATTGAGCTGCCAAAATAGAATAGTCTTCAATATCATCAAGAAAAATGGCATTATTTCTACTGTCCTTACTATTGCCTTGTACTATCATTTAGTACCAGCAACACTGTGTTCATGTTGCTCTGCACAATAACTGTATATTTAATAATAACAAATCAGTAAATATTTACAGAATGAACTGCACTGAGATATCTAGGCCAACGTGCTAACAACTTAAGACATATGATAGAACATAGCAGTGAACCACCTTAACAACAATGCCAGATTCTTATGGGTAAAGAACGGAGAACAGTGAGTGTTCCAAGACTTGAGGTACCATTTTGCACATTGATTTCAGATACCTATTATACTGTACTCAGGTATCAGAAAGAACAATTGCTATTAGCAAAATTCTAATTTACCCATTAGTATTTCATGGTGGAAGTGAATTTTGTAAATGAGTTCAAACTGTGAAACAAAAGACATACCCATTCATTTGCTGGTGTGAATAAAAAAACAGTACTGCCATTTTGGCAGGCAACTTAGGGAGTTTAAAAGAAACTACACATAATCTTATAATAGAATCTAGCAATAACACACCTTGACATTCACCTAAATGAACTAAAACTTTAGGTCTACACAAAAAGCACCACATAAGATATTTATAGTGGGTTTATTCATAAATGCCAACACGCAAAAGAAATTAAGATGCCCTTCCAGGTGTGAAAAGATAACCAAGCTGTGATAAAATACAGTCAACAGAATACTACTCAACTAAAAGGAAATGAGCTATTAAGCTAAGAAAAAAACATGACAAAAATGCTTATTAACTAAAGTAAAATAAGCCAATCTGAAAAGGTTGCATAATGAATGGGTCCAGCTATGACATTTTGGAAAAAGCAAAATGGAGAAATTGAGGAGTAATTGTCAGGGGCCAATGTGGGGAAGGGAGGAAAGATATGAAACACAGAAAATCCTTAGGATGGTGAAACTATACTGAATGGTACTACAATGCTGGATATGTAACTTTAAATATCTGATAAAACCCAGATAACACACAGGACCCAGATCAAATCCTAACGCAAACTATGAACTCTGTACACGATACAAATGATGAATTCTGTGTGATAGGTATGTCAATAAAGATCCATTGAATCTAAGTGATGTACTACTCTGGGGAAGATGTTGAAAACAAGGAAGTATGTACTTATGTGGCATTAGGGTTATATGGCAACTCTCTGTTCAATTTTCCTGCAAAATTAAACTATAAACTAAAGACTTTGATTTTATTTTTAAGTAAAAAGAAAACAAGTCTGGGAATGCGGCTCGGTGGCAGAGTGTTTCCTAGCATGCATGAAGCCCTGAGTTCTATTCCTCAGTACCACATAAACAGAAAAAGCAGAAAGTAGTGCTTTGACTCAAATGGAGGAGTGCTAGCTTTGAGCACATAGAGGCTCAGAGACAGAGAGCTCAGTCCCCAAGTTCAAGCCCTAGCACCTGCTAAAATTAAAATTAAATTAAAAATCAATTTTGACATTTAAACATCCCTGTTACAGAAAATATTTCTCAAAATTTTGAAACCTTACAAAAACATTTGAAATACTATTCTTTCTTTTTGCTTTATAGCATACTATATATTCTCTGCAATCAGTATTAAAATGATGTAGACTTAAATGTTGCAGAAGACATAATGTAAAGCAGTAATCAACAATAATAGGGAAAAATCTAAACTCACTTTAATATTAAAGAATAATAATGATTTTATCCTTACACATAGAAACTGAAACAATTTTACAAATTCGAATCCAGTATCTGAAGTCATTTACCTTTGTGTCATAATTTTGAAGGCATCGGGGAGGTAGCAGTCCGTGTTCTCCATCTGGAAAGGGTCAGCATCACAGATCTTGTCATCTGTCCGGCCATAGTTAGCGCTCTCAATCATGATGACATCGCTGCCTGGACATCGAAGATCTATAGAGTAACCTTCACAGGACAGTTCCCGCCTCACTAACCCAAATGGTAAAGCCGCTCGGCTGAAACCTGAAAGTACACAAAAGAAAGAAAGAGAATTAATCTTTAACCCCTGCTAACCTGTATATGAATAAACTCCCTGAATAAGGTACTTTCAAGTATTGTGACTGATCTACTGCCAAGAGATCAGAAATTCACATATTCTCTCCCCTCTCTCAACCTCTCTGCCATTTTTGGGGGGTGGGGGACAGCATTATGGATTGACTGTATTTGTTTTCATCATAAGATTGCCTAAGCTGACCTCAAAGTAGTGATCATTCACTTCCCCATTTCCTGGGATTACAGGTGTGTGCCACCATGTTAGGCTTCACATATTGATTCTTAGTTATATTCCTAAAATTTATTATTACTTATTTTTCTTTATCTTTATCTTGAAGTAACATCTTTATAAGCCATTTAGAAATCACTACAATAGCCAAGAACCGGTGGCTCATACCTGTAATGCTAGATTCTCGGGAGGCTGAGAGTTGAAGATCACTGTTCCAATACCAAGCCTAGGAAGAAAGTCTATGGAGACTCCAGTTAACCACTGAAAAGCTGGAAATGGAGCTGTGGTCCTCATCAGCATTGAGTACAAAAACTAAGGGCCAGTGCCTATGCCAAGTTCAAGACCAATAGTGGCACCAAAACAAAACAAAAACAATCAACAACAACAAAACTTTTAACAAAAGTATTTTCTCCACAATTTTGCATAAACACAAATAACTGCTTTTGAGTAAATTCAAAGAAAAATAGTAAACTAAATTAACTTTAGAAGCAGTGGCAAGCTTTACAAATACTAAAGTAAGAAGCAGTTTTCATCTGTGCAATGGAGTAACAGCTCTGCAGTCATGCAAGTCTTCTTGTCCTGTCATTTGAGATACTTGCTGGCAGCCACATTATCATGAAAATACTTGTCTTAAAAAGTTCTCTCCCCAAAATAAATATGACACTTATGAGTAGCATAACATGTTGTGACAAGAAAAGACTCATGGTATAATCACTTCTTGAATTTATGGACACTGTATATCTCTATCATCTTAATTATTCTGCACCATATGATTTAGTTCATGTATCTATCTATGAGGGGGAAAAAAAAAAACTAACAGAAGTAAAAGAAACTGTTCCCAGTTCTAAATCCTCAACTTGATGAGCTGGGCTCTTTTAGGCCAGAACCTGTTCAATATCCTTATTATATGATGTCCCTCCAAGGATAAAATACATTTTTGGGGGGCGGGGGGAGCAGGGGAGATGTAAACAATGCTCAGCAGTAATTCTCAAATGTGGCTACACCCTGACTCTACTGAGAAAACTAAAGTCACAGCTGCACTGAATTGGGAAAGGGGGAAAAATGTACAGGAGAGCATGGCAGGCAGACTCTACCTTTGGTGTGCTTTCACTATGGCTTATGGTATTATGAAGGAGCTAAACATATGTGAAGAGGTCACTACTAAGGAAGCCTTATACAGATATAGACCTGGGCAGATAGCTGGACTGACAACAAATAGATCAAACTTCCGAAACATAGCTCTTCAACAACAAGGGATAAGGGTGTGTGCATGCCCGTGCATATACGTACACACACAGTCACACAAAGCACACACAAAATATTCCTCTATCTTCTCTTGTTGTGAACAAACCACTCAGCTTAAAATATTAAGACATTTGTTTCTTTTGAAGCTGTTATTTCTTTGTAGCAAGGGCTAGGTGGAAATTTAAATGAGTGACAAAGTTGCAACTATAATAACAAAAAAGCATAATAAATCATTATTTAGAAGTGCTAGAAATATGGCAATGCTATTAAAAGACTGGCGTGGAGCCATTATTCACAATTCTTACTATTTTGTTTAAAACAGGATTATGAAGCTCTGTGGTTTTGGGTTTTTGTTTTTTTTTTAGCCTGAGTGCTTTAATTTTGCTTTCTTAGTTTGTAGAATTTTAGTTATAGGTCTAAGTAAATTTTCCTCTGCTTTAGGAAGATATTTGGGGAGCTATATAGTTGAATGTCTTTCTGTTCTGATAACACAAATTTTAACACCTACAATCAAGAAGGAAGTTAGGAAAAGAAAGGTCAACATATTTTAAAATAATTGAAAAGACTTCTAATACAGAATCTACTGGAGAGGAAATCATGATATTGTGTTTTCCTTAAAAAGAACTTGTTAGTTCTTAACAGTGAATACTGTTTACCTAAAGCTACAAAGCCTACCAATTAAAAATTTTAAATGTTCCCTTTTCTAAATTCTTGCTCTCATCTATTTACATTGAATTTATTTTATATATTTAATTTTAGTATATGCATGTTACTGTACATGTTCATTTTAATATATATCTACTTAGCTCAGCTATAAAAAGGTGCTTAGTTACGATCAATACCTAGAAAGAATGTAAATAATTTCAATACATGATATAAAAACCAAATCACTGAATTTCAAAGCTAGCACCTGCTTATCTTAGCACAATGTATTACAGTTTCTTTCCTCTGTAACATCTATTTATTTCACTAGTGAAAATAAAAATTATGAACATTAAAAAATAAATTATCTATAGTCAAATTATATCTCATAGCTAAGTGTTTAAATCCTATTTATTTATTTATGCATGTATAATGCCAGTCGTAGGGCTCGAACTCAGGGCCTAGTGCTGTCCCTGGGCTTTTTTTTCTCAAGGCTACTGATCTACCAACTTGAACTGCAGCACAGCTCTACTTCTGGCCTTTTTGGTAGTTAATTGGATATAAATGTCTCATGGCCTTTCTTGCCCAGGCTGGCTTCAAACCACTACCCTCAACTTTCAATCTCCTTAGTCCCCTAGGATTAAAGGTGTGACATATTAGTGTCTGGCAATTTACATGTTTTTATGTATCACTGGAGTTCTTTGGTGTTTCATGCAGGACAGGTAGGGTACATATCTGTGAATTTTCCATTATCTAAAATTCTTGTGTTTTTCCACAGATAAATATTATAATAGTTAATAGTTACAAAACATTTTGCTATGTGGTTAACACTAGGGTTAAAGGTTTTATATGAAGCATTTTAGAAGGGGGCTCCATAGTAAATTAGGAATTAATTATTGTTGTAAATTTCAGAGTACAAAATGAAGGTATCAAATAGGAGCTGCTTTAGCATCATTGATTGTTCTGCCTCATACAAATCTCTGAGACTCCAGAGTCTGTGGGTTTTTGGGGGTTTTTTTGTTTTTGTTTTTGTTTTTGTTTTAAATCAATGGCCAGGATTTTAACACTATAATGTAAAAAGACACCCCCTTCCCCCAACCCTCAGGACCAGGGCCTGGCACTGGCTATTGAACTTTTTGCTCAAGGCTAGCATACTGTCACTTGACCCACAGATGCACCTCTTGCTTTTTGCTGGTTAATTAAAGATAAAAGTCTCATGGACTTTTCTTCCAGGCTGGCTTCAAACTTTGGATCTCTGATCTTAGCCTCCAGGGTAGCTAGGATTACAGGTGTGAGTCACCAGTGCCAGCTGTAACTATATTAAGTTTCCATATGACTGACAATCACCACAGAATGTTAGTTATATCTGAAAGGAAATAGTCACTTTGAAGGCTTACAAAGAATACAAATAATAATGGAAGTCATGTTTGTGCAAATGTAGAAATACATACATAAAAATAAAGCAAAACAGATACTATTCCAATAATTCCTATGGAAATACTAGGAAGGTGTGTCTTCAATTACTTTGAACCAGTTGCTTCTGTTCTCAATGTTCATTTCCTTTCCTAAAAAAATCATGCCATTTCAAAGTCCTATAAGATTTCCCAAATCTATAAGACCAAACAGGCAAGTTCTTTTTAATCAGATATACACGTTATTCCAACATTTTCAAGTAATCTATAATTATGAAATTATCTGTCTCAGATAATTTCTTAAAACATAAATGTAACATGAGCTGGGAAGGTGGCTCAGTGGTAGAGTGCTTGCCTTGCATGCCTGAGGCCCTGAGTTTGATTCCTCAGCACCACATAAACAGAAAAAGGCGGAAGTGGCACTGTGGATCAAGTGGTAGCCTTGAGCTGAAGAGCTGAGGGACATCACCCAGGCCCAGAGTTCAGGCCCCACAACTGACAAATTAATTAATTAATTAATTAATTCATGTAACATGAATGCTGTATATTGTAAACTCCTGAGATAATTCTCAAAAACAATTGTCATAAACTAGACAGGGTTTTCCCAAACCGAAGGAGAATTCTGGATTAACTATTTTAACCCAAGCCTTAGTAGAAGGGAGAAAATAAATACAGGCCAATTATAAAAACAAAGTCTGTTTTACATAAAATGTAAAGAAAGCTCTCTTGATTGTGTGAATTTGGGCCACTTTTACAGGAGTTTTCCCGAAAAATCATGATTCATTACTTCACCTGATTGATTTAAAATTTCTGTATTTTGGGCTGTGAAGGTGGCTAGTCATAGAGTGCTTGCTTCACATGCATGAGGCCCTGGGTTCCATTCCTCAGCACCACATAAACAGACAAAGCCGAAAGTGGCGCTGGGGCTCAAGTGGTAGAGCTCTAGCCTTGAGCTGAAGAGCTGAAGGAGAGTGCCCAGGCCCAGAGTTCAAGTCCCACAACACCCCCCCCAAAATCAATATTTCTCTAAGTAAATCAAAGACAATTATTTACTCCCAAAGATAATATTTACACCCTTTGTACACCATATTAATATTTACACCATATTAATGAACTATAAAAAAATCAGTGTAGGTGTGGATATCATTTCTCAAACTTCTTTTCCTTCATATGTGATAATACTTTAACTGGCTATTGTAAACCCTATTTTAAAAAAATCATTAACCATGTCCGCCAGAAATATGAACCAAACACAATTACAGAGACCAACCTACTAAGGTGCTTAAGAAAACATCTCCTCCTCAAGCTCATTCTGTATCTACACAATCAAAATCTCAGTGCAATGAAGCTGGGGCATGTAGACTTGAGGACAAAAATGTTAATTTACTAACAAACAGCGTGTTGGCAGAACTAAGATGTGCCAAGAGTTTCTCTGAGGCATT